TCTTGTCCTTCACAAGACTATCTCTACTGATGATGTCTTCGCCACTCCTAGAGGACCTCAACCCAGCAACAAAATACATCCATTTGGATCTTTTCAACCCAACAACAAAGGGCATCCATCTGGATCTTCAAGATTCTGCAATTACTGCAAGAAACCAGGATACATTCTCTTGGAATGCTCGATTCGAGTTTGTCAATTCTGTCAGAAGCAAGCCCCTGGTCATCTTCAGCGTGATTGTTTCCAAAACCCCAACGGACACTCTCAAAAACACATGTCTCGCAGTACTCCTTCTAGATCTGCCGCCACTACCGCTGAAGGTTCATCATCTACTACTACCAGTGAGAAGTTTTCTACTTCTGACATAGAGGAAATTGTCAAACAAGTCCTTGCTCATTCTGGTAATTTACCTTCTACTGCTATGTCAGTCACCTCAGGTAATTCATCTTGGTTCTTTGACTCTGCATGTTGTAATCACATGACACCTGATTCCACTATATTTGCCACCAAACGTCTTGCTAATCATACTCCGACTATTCAAACTGCTGATGGTTCTTCTATGACCATGAGTCATATCGGAAAAATCTCAACATTAAACACTTTACTTCTTGATACTTATTGTATTCCCCAACTCACTCTTAATCTTATATCTGTTGGTCAATTATGTGATTTCGATCTAACTGTCATCTTTTCTGCTTCTGGTTGTTGTATGCAGGATCCAAAGACGGGACAAACTCTTGGGATAGGCCGTAAGGTTGGATGACTCCTTGGGCTCATCAATCTTCACCTTTCATCCCGTTTCTCCTCATCAGTTCAGATAGCAGCCCCAGTCTCATCTACCCCATCCATCAGTCTCTGGCATTCTCGTCTGGGTCATGCTTCTATTAGTCGTCTTCAATTTTTAGCATCTAGTGGTTATTTAGAGCTTGCTAATAAAGAATAATTTGATTGTCTTCTTTGTCAACTTGCAAACAATCGGCATTGCCATTTCACAAAAGTGATTCCTTTTCTTCTGCACCATTTGATTTGATTCACTCTGATGTTTGGGGCCCATCTCCCACTGCTACTATGGGAGGCTCTAGATATTTTGTAATTTTTATTGATGATTACTCTCGTTACACTTGGATATTTCTTATTCGTAATCGATCTGAATTACTTCAATTGTACCTTGATTTTGCTACCATAGTCAAAACTCAATTTTCTTGCAATATCAAAGTGTTTCGTGCTGACAATGCTGTCGAATACACAGACTCTAGAGTCATTACCTTTCTTCGCCAACATGGCACTCTTCCTCATCGTTCATGTCTAGGCACTTCTCAACAAAACGGGTGTGCTGAGCGCAAATACCGTGACATTCTCAATACTGTCCGTGCTCTTCTCATATCTGCTTCGTGTCTTGAACGCTTTTGGGGTGAAGCTACTCTTACAGCTGTTTACACCAAGAACCGCGTGCCTTCTCCCATCATTAGGAATTAATCACCATTTGAGCGTCTTTATGGTCACCCTCATGACTATAACACTCTTAAGGTATTCGGTTGTGCTTGTTTTGTTCTTCTTCAGCCTCATGAGCGCACCAAATTGGAATCTAGATCTCGACTATGTTGTTTCTTGGGATATGGTGTTGAACACAAAGGCTACAAATGTTGGGATCCTTACTCCAAATGTCTCCGAGTATCTCGTCATGTCGTTTTCTGGGAACACAAGATGTTCGCCTCCATATCCAAATTTCACCTGTCACATGACAATACCTCTATCCTATTCACTGACCTCTCCACAGATCTTTTTCCTGACACTGAGACAAACTCTTCTTCTAAGTCAACATCTCCACCAACACATCCTATCTCTTTCTCAGATATGTCATTACCAACTAACATGTCTACAGATACCTCAATTGAGTTATCCACCTTGCCCTCTTCTGAGAAACTTGTCTCTTCTGATGGATCCGCTCCAACGACTTCTGATCTCCCTATTCGAAGAAGTGACCGGGTAAAAACTTATTCTGTTAATCTTCGTGACTTTGTTGTATTTTCTACTATTCTTTCTCACCATGAACCTCAGTCTTATATCGTGAAGCTAGTTTTGATCCTCTTTGGCAGAAAGCAATGAATGATGAACTACAGGTACTCGAAAACACTCACACTTGGGATCTAGTGGACCTACTAAAAGGCAAACATGCCATGGGGTGCAAGTGGGTTTACAAGATCAAAACTCATTCTGATAGGTCCATTGATCGATACAAAGCTCGCTTGGTAGCTAAAGGGTTTATCCAGAAGTATGAGATTGACTATGAGGAGACCTTTGCCCCGGTTGCCCGCCTCACTTCAGTTCGCAGCTTAATTGCAGTTGTCGCCGTCCGTCATTGGGAATTATTTCAGATGGATGTGAAAAATGTTTTTCTTAATGGTGAACTTACTGAAGAAGTTTATATGTGCCCTCCTGCCAGTTCTCATCATCTTCCGCATCAAGTCTGCAAACTTCGTCGGGCTCTTTATGGTCTCGAGCTTAGTTTGCCAAGTTCACCACCATTGTTGGAGATTTTGGGTTCACTTCCAGCTCACATGATTCTACTCTTTTCATTCGCAAAACAGACTAGGGTACTATCCTTCTTTTCCTCTGTGTTGATGATATGATCATCACTGGTGATGACACATTCGGAATTTTGGATCTCAAGACTTATCTCAGCCAACATGTCGAAATGAAAGATCTTGGAGAGCTTAGTTACTTTTTGGGACTTGAGATCACTTCTAACTCTGAGGGATATTATCTTTCGCAAGCAAAGTATGCTTCTGATCTTCTTACTCGAGCGGGACTCACAGATAGTAAGACATGTACCACTCCTCTAGAGCTCAACTCTAAACTCACTCCCATGGATGGTACACCTTCGGATGACCCCACCTTGTTTCGCCAGTTGGTTGGTAGTCTTGTTTTCTTACAGTTACTGCCCTGACATCTCTTATGCTGTCCATATTGTCAGTCAATTTCTCTCTGTTCCTCGCACATCCCATTATGCCACAGTGCTTCGCATTCTCAGGTACATCAAAGGGACCCTATTTCATGGTCTCCACTTCTCATCTCACTTTTCACTCGAGCTTCATGCCTACTCAGATGCAGATTGTGCAGGTAACCCCACTGATCGTAGATCTACCACTGGGTATTGTTTCTTCTTTGGTGATTCTCTTATTTCTTGGCGCAGCAAGAAACAAATAGTAGTCACTCGATCCAGTACAGAAGCTGAGTATCGAGCCCTTGCTGATACAACTCAGAAACTTCTTTGGCTTCGCTGGTTACTTGAAGACATGGGCGTCACCCATTCTACTGCCACTATCATAAACTGCGATAATCAAAGTGCTATCCAAATTGCTCACAATGATGTATTCCATAAACGCACAAAACACATTGAAATTGATTGTCACTTTATACGTCATCATCTCACCCATCAGACTATTGGACTATTATCAGTTTCTTCAGCCGATCAAACTGCTGATATTTTCACTAAAACGCACCCTCCTGGACGCCTTGAGGATTTAGTTTCCAAACTCAAGTTGGTCTCCATTTTACCACCTTGAGTTTGAGGGGAGCTGTTAATGTATAAACAATGTAAATGTTAGTTAGTCCCACATTAGTTAGAAAGGAAAACATTCCTCTCAAATTAGGCTATAAATAGGATACCTCTCTTGTAAACAAATCACACTTTTCAATACAATTATCTTCTTTTTGTATTGTCTTATTTTCTCTCTTAAATTCAACTCTTTCAAATACAACATTGCAAATTATGATGGATGACTTGCGGCGTTTCAAACTTGTAATAACAAGTTTGGTATGAAGTCATAGACAGTACTTGACACTATTAGCGAAGAAAAAAGTTAAAAATTTATGTATAGTGTATAGTGTTATCTATTCAGAAGTAGTTACCAATACGATAAATGCAATTAGAGACTTTTATTCAAAGCTAAAACTGAATTCAGAATGCTCCCTAGTCTTGTTATTTTACTTGCAAGATTCTGTGAAAACTTAGCCTGTGAATTTTGTTGCTACTCCGTTGCATAAAGAAACTTGTTTTTATTTTCACT